TAGCAGCTAGAGCAGTGGGCACTGGAAAAAATCAATAAAATTAACAAATAAATCATAAATAAATTACTTGCACCAGAATCATGGAAATGAGATTAAAGAACATGTTTACAATTAAAGAAAGTAATCCCATTCATTTAAAACAGTGTGCTCTGTTTTTATGCTTGGTTCCCCTCATTTTGAATCTCTGCAACCAATTTAAACATGTGGATTTCAGTTCCATTTGCTGTCAAACCACACTTCTCTACCAGCTGAGGGCCAGGGGCAGAGACTGAGGGTGAAATTCAATGGGCCAGGATGTCATCCTGTAATTGGAGCAGTCTGAAGTCAACCGAGTTAATCAGACAGGGTTGAACTTGACTGTGATTGACGAAAGTAATCATGCTATCAGTTAACTCCAAAATTCTTGAACTCTGGTGGCATAAATAATTGCCAGGCTATAAGTGGTCTTCAGATATAGAAATAGTTTGGGGGGCCAAATTCTGCCTGACTGCAGTTGCGCAGCTTTTGTGCTATTGTGCACACATCCAAGGGCAGAATTTGATCCACAGGTAGAAAGGGAGGGCAATAGAACATTCTGCATATAAAAGTTGATCAGAAAACTACCCTTTTTTTTTTCTTGTTAACTCTCATGCTTTCCATCTTTTCTTCTTTGGTAGCTCAATGTTCTTTAATTTGAACCTATATAGTTGCAAAAATAATAGGAAGGGCCTGTTCTGAACACTGGACCAGAGGGAACAAAAATATATACAAAGAACAGAGAAAGAAATTCTAATTTGCCAGAACAACCCTTTTTGTATTCAGTGAGTAACTTTTCATCCCGCGGAAGATCTGAAGAGTGCCAACCAGGGGAATGCACACCACAGCTTTCTCCCAGTGATTTTCTTTGAGCTATTACACATAACTGAATTGGCAGCACAGTTATTTGTTTTCCATTGTTCTAATGGTTCCTTGGGTGTTTGTCTTCAGATTAAGCTTTTTGATTTTATAAAATATAAGTAATATTGAAAATAAGATAACGTTTGTTTATTTTAGAAAAGTAACATCTCTAGAAAGACAGCTATTTCCGGGGATGTGGGGTGTGTATTTTCTTCTATAATTATGCCCAATTAGCCTCTGATAACATTTACCTTTCAAATGAACACATCTTTTATAAATATTCTGAATATTGTACATTTCCCCCCACAACCTCACTGGCATATTTTCTGGGCTTGGTACTGCTCCCACTGAAATGAATAGGAGCTTTACCATTGAGTTCAATCTGAGTGAGATCCCACACGCTGAAATTAAGTCTGCACTCCCACCCCCTGCTTTTCCCCGCACAGCCACCCGTTCCTGCACGGAAAATTATTCCTTCCTCCTCTCATTGTATAATATAATAAAACTATGATAGTGTTCAACAGGCTTGGGGATAAAACTAAAGGCTTTTATATACAGGGCTCACTTTTCTTCTACACCTACACCATGGTTTAGGCCCAATCGGTTCAGCAAAAAATTTTAGGCATTAATTTTAACCACATGCCTACGTGCTGTGCTGAATTAGGATCTGGGAGTTTTGCCAATGACTTTTATGTGAGTTAATTTGGGACCAGTATTAGGAAAAACATCATTCAAGCTTATGTATTTGGAATTCTTGCTCAAGAAAGATGGTAGAATGTCATTAGAATAGAATTATACTACCTTTTAGCTTGAGCAAGATTGTTCTTTTGACTAGACTGTTAGGCTAGAGTAGGAGGACACAACCTTGCTTCTGCACTTGCTCCTTTTCCTCCTGGAGGCTTGTAGTCAGTCACACCTCTTCCAATGAACCTCAAAAGTTTTTGCACCAGTTCCAGCAACACTTCTAACAAAGCACTAACTCTTGAAACATACCAAAGGTGATGAAGTTAGAATCAATGATTAATGGAGCCCCCCCCCAAGAAATGGGAAACAAACTTGCAACCATCCAGACTACTACCTGCTATATGCAGGAAGGCTCAGAAACTCTAGGGCTCTGCCCTGCTAAGCAGAAGATTTGGTTTTGATTCCTTTTTTGACACTCACAGGCCACTAGGAAGGAAAGAGTGCTCAGCGATGATAGTGGCCACCCAGTTAATTAAAGCAAGTTATTATAACAATCTCGACAACTAGTTTTACCCTTGAGCAATATTTTACTTGTATTGCCTGGGGAATCAGCAATATTTGTAAAACATATATGGCACCAGCAAAAAACTTAAAATGCCAATTTAGAATGGACAACCTGCTTGCAATAAACTGACGATGGTAGACATAACACTGGAATGCATTACCTAGGGAGGTGGTAGAATCTCCTTCCTTAGAAGTTTTTAAGGTCAGGCTTGACAAAGCCCTGGCTGGGATGATTTAATTGGGGATTGGTCCTGCTTTGAGCAGAGGGCTGGACTAGATGACCTCCTGAGGTCCCTTCCAACCCTGATATTCTATGATTCTATGTTGGGTTTACTGTAGTACTGGCTAACAGTTCATCCTGCCCTCCTATTCCTGCCTGCCACATTTTTGTTACATGGCTGTGGACTGAAATGAATGAGAATCTTCAGAACAACAGGAAATCTCTTCATTCCAAATCCCTGCAGATAAGAATGTTGCAGCAGGCAGAAAGAACGGACGGGGTGGGGTGCAAGTCAACACTACTGGTTTCTGCTTCCACACTCCAGCCCAATAATTGTGACTTTAATACTGACACAACCCTCATTTTGGGGAGTTAGTAGATTCCCTCCTCCCCCCCCCCCCAAAAAAAACTAAACAAAAAAACAACAACCCACCACCCAGAAATTAACCTTGTAGTCATGGGGACTAGTAGCTTTGACAATGCTGTTTTAATATAATGTGTGAATCCTATATAGAGACCCAGAAATGTTTAAAAATGACTAACAACAGTAGCAGCACACTTAATAGTAAAATAATTAGTTCCCCCAAATATATCATGATGAGAATAATGATTAAAATAATTAAAAACTAAATTTCTTGGTGTTTGAATATAAAAGCAAAACATCTCAGAATAACTTTAAAATTATACAAATGTCTCAGGTTGCCATTTATAACCTTTGAATATTTACATTTCCCTGAACTCTACTCCCACAGATAAAAACTAAAATGTATGTAATTTTTCACAAACTGGTATGTAAACAAATAATTTCTTATTGCATTGGTTCTAAGTACTACTCCCTAACTATTGTCTGAACTACAGGTCAGTAGAGTCAGTAGCTTCTCTGGCTTTTCCCCTTAGTAAAATGTAATGATGTCAGGAAATATTTTATTCTTTCAAACCACCAGAAAGGAGAATTTTAGCTGAACATGCAACCATCATTCTGCACAAAACCTTTACGCTATGGGCCTGCTCCTGCTCCTATGGAAGTCAATAAGCTCCCACCAGCTTCAATCATGCAGAATCACCACCTATGATGTTAAAACATTTGTCTCATTTTTAACTAAGTGGCATGGAAAGATTTACATATTTTTCAAAAAATTATTCCAGAATTTTCTAAATTGGGAACTTGCTAAACTTGAGGGGCAACTAAATCCACATTTAAATAAGCAGCCTGCTTTTTCAGAGGTGCTGAAGTCTCACAACTCCCATGAGTCTTCTGAAAATCAGGCAATGTGCCTAAATACAGATTTAATTGCCTAAATTTAGGCACCCAAGTTCAAAAATCTCTCAAAACTACAGTAACTGCATTATATTTAATGGAAAATATGAAAAATAGCATGGAAAGTGAAATTTCACTGTACTAAGCTATACATATGTGGGAAGCACAGGACAGAAGGTAATATCTCTGTAGTTGGTTACCTCTTTATCTTCTGTGCCAGGCTCTGGTTCACTGATTCTTTCTTCCCAAAAGCTTCTCACCCTCTCCACCTTTTCCAAGCACTGAAAAAAAGCCACTTTGCCTAGTTTGGTACTGCTGTACTGTGTATTGATTTCTTCCACCCTGTTAATCTTAAATAGCTTTGTGTTGTATCCAATAAGGTTACCATCTTGATCTCTCTCCAGCTTGGTTTCATAAATCAGTGAATACTCATGACATTTGACATCTTCCTTTTCTTGTCTGTAATGAGGAGAAACAGATGAAACATTAACATGATTCTTGCATTTTTAGTTTAAAAACAAGTCAACTGTGCAATAAAAATGTTATACATTTTTTCCTCTTAAAATCTGTGGGGATATTTTTTTGTAGCTATAACTAGCTAGGCTCAAAAAAGAAACATTGCTGACATTAGTAACCTTTGCCTGTCTTAGATATCATTACCAGTTTTTTAGTGACTTAAGAACCTAAAGGCTTGATTTCACAGGGAAATTGACTAGAATAGCTATTGCAGATTAAGCTACTCTGCAATAGCTATTCCAAAGCACACTCATTATTCTGGAATAAAGTGATTTATATTCTAGAATAATGTCCACACAGCGAGCTATGCCAGTCAACTTCCCTTTGTAGACAAGCCCTAAATTCCATTTTCACATCTGTATAAAAATGTGTTGCACTCACGCATTGAAAAAATGTCTCCTAGTACTACAGATTTTGATGGGGAGCAGTGGAATCTAACATTTCAGTAGTAAAGGAAAGGGACTCTCAATTTATTTTAGACCTAAAATCTAAAGTGAATAAAATGTTTGAATTATTTTTGTAAGCCTTGTCTAGCAGCGATGTAAACCCAAATACAATAGCATTGTGCTAGCTCATGAGCACAAGAAAGCTGAAACAAACCAATCCAGTTGCATTGTTTATTGCTTGCATTTTGCTCAACCTGGACAAACACCATAAATTATACAAAGTAAATTAGAATTTAATTATTCTTTCACTGTTATTAGTAACACAGATAAGTAATTTTGTATAATATAGGATTACGTAAGTAATTAAATATGTGATGTTCATGTGAACACTTTCCCTTTAATAGAAAATTTATTTGACAGCATTTAAGCTAAGCTGTGTTAGGTCAGCATATCTTCCAGTTGACCTTGCCCCACTCATTCCTGGAACAGTGCCTTGTTGCTGTGTTCTGACTCCCCAGGGCAGGAAAGAGATTCTTGGAGCCTTTTTCCTCCGCGAACAGCAGCGAGGCTAACAGAGGGAGTTTCACTGGGATCTGTCCGAGAGGAGGTACACTAAGAGCTGCATTACGGGGCTGTGTTGGTGAGTATCTGAGTGTCTGTTACAGGGACAGTTTGTCCGTGTGCTTGACTGTTTGAAAAGTGTGAATTGGGAGTGCTTTGTTCCAGGTGGGCCTTGAGTGGGCCTGATTGTTATAAAAAGGCAGCCCGTTGCGAACGAGTGGAGAGGTGAACAGAGGGATTTTGACTTGGAGTTCGCCTGGGGAGAGCCTACTGAGGCTTTCATCTTGAAGGCTTCTCTGAGTTGTTACTGCAACAGCTGAAGAAGCTCTTAGAAGGAAGGTAATATGGATGGTGAGTGATCAGCTGTTGTGACCTGCACAGGATGTGCCATGTTTATCTTTCTTCTACAGGACAGAAGCAACTTTGTCTGTACAAAGTGCAAGCTGGTCTCCACATTGGAAGAGAAGGTTCAAAGTCTAGGAGAAACAAGTATCAACCCTGCATTGCATAAGAGAAAATGAAGATTTCCTGGACAGACATCAGGATATGCTTCTACGGGCACAACATTCTGAAAAATCAGAGCAGGCTGCACAGCAGGGACAGAAGGACGGTAAAGAAAATTAGCAGCATGTGACCTCCAGAAGAAGAAAGAGGAGCATCCATGTACCAGCAATGCAGATACAGGTGAGCAACCGTTTTCATGTTCTCTCCATAGGTACGAATGCGGACAGTGGACAGATGATACATCTGAGGGAAGGGAGCAGGAGAAGACTCCACCGATTGGAAGGCGTGAGATGCACTGTCCTAGGGATGGGGGTTCCACGACCACCACTCCCAAGAGAAGGAGGCGGGTGGTGGTGGTCAGGGACTCCCTCCTAAGGGGGACTGAGTCATTTATCTGCCGTCCCGACCGGGACAACCAAGAAGCGTGCTGCTTGCCAGGAGCTAGGATTCATGATGTGACGGAGAGACTACAAAGTCTCATCAAGCCCTCAGATCACTACCCCTTCCTGCTTCTCCACATGGGCACCAATGATACTGCCAAGAATGACCTTGAGCAGATCACTGCAGACTATGTGGCTTTGGGAAGGAGTTTGTGGCGCAAGTGGTCTTCTCGTCCATCCTCCCTGTGGAAGAAAAAGGCCCAGGTAGAGACCGTCGAAATGTGGAAGTCAATGAATGGCTACGCAGGTGGTGCTGGAGAGAAGGCTTTGGATTCTTTGACCATGGGATGGTGCTCCAAGAAGAAGGATTGCTAGGCAGAGACGGGCTCCATCTAACAAAAAGAAGGAATAGCATCTTCGTAAGCAGGCTGGCTAACCTAGTGAGGAGGGCTTTAAACTAGGTTCACTGGGGGAAGGAGACCAAAGCCCTGAGGTAAGTGGGGAAGTGGGATACCAGGAGGAAGCACGAGCAGGAGAGTGCAAGAGGGGAGGACTCCTGCCTCATACTGAGAAAGCAGGACAATCAGCGAATTATCTTAAGTGCCTATACACAAATTCAAGAAGCCTGGGAAACAAGCAGGGAGAAATGGAAGTCCTGGCACAGTCAAGGAATTATGATGTGATTGGAATAACAGAGACTTGGTGGGATAACTCACATGACTGGAGTACTGTTCAGGAAGGACAGGCAGGGCAGAAAAGGTGGGGGAGTTGCATTGAATGAAAGAAAACAGTATGGCTGCTCAGAGCTCCAGTATCAAACTGCAGAAAAACCTGAGAGTCTCTGGATTAAGTTTAGAAGTGAGAGCAACAAGGGTGATGCGTGGTGGGAGTCTGCTATAGACCACCGGACCACGGGGATGAGGTGGATGAGGCTTTCTTCAGGCAACTAACAGAAGTTACTAGATCACAGGCCCTGGTTCTCATAGGGGCTTCAATCACCCTGATATCTGCAGGGAGAGCAATACAGCAGTGCACAGACAATCCAGGAAGTTTTTGGAAAATGTAGGGGACAATTTCCTGGTGCAAGTGCTGGAGGAACCAACTAGGGGCAGAGCTCTTCTTGACCTGCTGCTCACAAACTGGGAAGAATTAGTAGGGGAAGCAAAAGTAGATGGGAACCTGGGAGGCAGTGACCATGAGATGGTCGAGTTCAGGATCCTGACACAAGGAAGAAAGGAAAGCAGCAGAATACGGACCCTGGACTTCAGAAAAGCAGACTTTGACTCCCTCAGGGAACTGATAGGCAAGATCCCCTGGGAGAATAACATGAGGGGGAAAGGAGTCCAGGAGAGCTGGCTGTATTTTAAAGAATCCTTATTGAGGTTACAGGGACAAACCATCCCGATGTGTAGAAAGAATAGTAAATATGGCAGGCGACCAGCTTGGCTTAACAGTGAAATCCTTGCTGATCTTAAACACAAAAAAGCAGCTCACAAGAAGTGGAAGCTTGGACAAATGACCAGGGAGGAGTATAAAAAATATTGCTCAGGCATGCAGGAGTGAAATCAGGAAGGCCAAATCACACTTGGAGTTGCAGCTAGCAAGGGGTGTTAAGAGTAACAAGAAGGGTTTCTACAGGTATGTTAGCAACAAGAAGAAGGTCAGGGAAAGTGTGGGCCCCTTACTGAATGGGTGAGGCAACCTAGTGACAGAGGATGTGGAAAAAGCTAATGTACTCAATGCTTTTTTTGCCTCTGTCTTCATGAACAAGGTCAGCTCCCAGACTACTGCACTGGGCAGCACAGTATGGAGAGGAGGTGACCAGCCCTCTGTGGAGAAAAAAGTGGTTCGGGACTATTTAGAAAAGCTGGACGAGCACAAGTCCATGGGGCCAGATGCGCTGCATCCGAGGGTGCTAAAGGAGTTGGCAGATGTGATTGCAGAGCCATTGGTCATTATCTTTGAAAACTCATGGCAATCAGGGGAGGTACCGGATAACTGGAAAAAGGCTAATGTAGTGCCCATCTTTAAAAAAGGGGAGGAGGAGGATTCGGGGAACTACAGCCCAATCACTCTCACCTCAGTACCTGGAAAAATGATGGAGTAGGTCCTCAAGGAATCAATTTTGAAGCACTTAGAGGAAAGGAAAATGATCAGGAACAGTCAGCATGGATTCACCAAGGGCAAGTCATGTCTGACTAACCTAATAGCCTTCTATGATGAGATAACTGGCTCTGTGGATGACGGGAAAGCAGTGGACGTGTTGTTCCTTGACTTTACAAAGCTTTTGACACAGTCTCCCACAGTATTCTTGCCAGCAAGTTAAAGAAGTATGGGCTGGATGAATGGACTATAATGTGGACAGAAAGCTGGCTAGATCATCGGGTTGTGATCAATGGCTCCACGTCTAGTTGGCAGCCAGTACCCAGCAGAGTGCCCCAAGGGTCGGTCCTGGGGCAGGTTTTGTTCAATATCTTCATTAATGATCTGGAGGATGTCATGGATTGCACCCTCAGCAAGTTTGCAGATGACACTAAACTGGGAGGAGAGGTAGATACGCTGGAGGGTAGGGACACGATACAGAGGGACCTAGACTATTTAGAGGATTGGGCCAAAAGAAATCTGATGAGGTTCAATAAGGACAAGTGCAGGGTCCTGCATTAAGGACGGAAGAATCTCATGCACTGCTACAGACTAGGGACTGAGTGGCTAGGCAGAAGTTCTGCAGAAGCGGACCTAGGGGTTACTGTGGACGAGAAGCTGGATATGAGTCAACAGTGTGCCCTTGTTGCCAAGAAGGCCAATGGCATTTTGGGATGTATAAGTAGGGGCATTGCCAGCAGATCAAGGGACGTGATCGTTCCCCTCTATTCGACACTGGTGAGGCCTCATCTGGAGTACTGTGTCCAGTTTTGGGCCCCACACTACAAGAAGGATGTGGAAAAATTGGGGAGTCAAGCGGAGGGCAACAAAAATGATTAGGGGGCTGGAGCACATGATTAATGAGGAAAGGCTGAGGGAACTGGGATTATTTAGTCTGCAGAAGAGAAGAATGAAGGGGGATTTGATAGCTGCTTTCAACTATATGAAAGGGGGTTCCAAAGAGGATGGATCTAAATTGTTCTCAGTGGTAGCAGATGACAGAACAAGGAGTAATGGTCTCAAGTTACAGTGGGGGAGGTTTAGGTTGGATATTATGAAAAACATTTTCACTAGGAGGGTGGTGAAGTGCTGGAATGGGTTACCTAGGGAGGTGGTGGACCTCCTTCCTTAGAGGTTTTTTAAGGTCAGGCTTGACAAAGCCCTGGCTGGGATGATTTAGTTGGGGATTGGTCCTGCTTTGAGCCGGGGGTTGGACTAGATGACCTCCTGAGGTCCCTTCCAACCCTGATAGTCTATGATTAGCTACTTTAGCTGGTATATTCCAGGACTGAATCTAGCCCACAATATATTTTGAAGATTGCTTTAAGCAAGTGTGCGGAGGAAAATATTTAAAAGCTGTTAGACAAATGACAGGCTGTAATCCAGGTAAAAATAATCCCATGGCTCTCATTACTCATAGACTCTGAAATGCTTTTGAACTACACAGCTGCAAAGAGTGCTTCCTACTGTGAGAGAGAAGTACCCCAATGGCAACAGAAAGCCTAAGTCTCTCTGTAATCACTTAAAGACCACATCCTTTCCCAGCCCATGATCACCAAATGTAGCAATCTGTCTAATGACAGTGACATGTCCTAATGAAAAGGGCACATTTTTCCCTAGCTGACTGATGTTCAATCAGCTGGGGAAAATGTTAAAGGGGTGACAAGCCTAAAGATGTTGTGATCCTCATGGCTGTGTTTTAGAATCACAGGACAGGAAGAGACCTCAAGAGGTCCCCTAGTCCAGTCCCCTGCACTCATGGCAGGACTAAGTATTATCTCTAGACCATTCCTGACAGGTATTTATCTAACCTGCTCTTAAAAATCTACTGCTTCCCCCCATCCACAAGGGGGGACTGTTATTTATCACCTTATTATCTTCTAGATGTTTGCAAATTGATTGCTTAATTATTTGCTCCATTATCTTTCCGGTACAGAGAGGCAGGGAGCAAGGAAAGAAAAGAAGATGGGGGCCCACTGCCCACCTGTTACATCACTCCTCTCCATTATTATCTTCACACCTTCCTAAAACAACATGGTAAACAAGGGAAGGCTTCCAGGGTTCAATTATGGAATTCAACAGCAGCGAGTGATCACCACTACAACACTGATAATATAGACAGCAGAGCACCCCCACTACTCTTTGGTAATCTGACGAAGCAGAAACCTGTGAGACTGGGCCTAGAGCCATCTGTTACCACAGAAACAGGTTTAATCTGCCCTAAATCTACCTTGTAACTCTGTCCCAACAGTTAACATGTGCAATAAAAAAATCTGTCTGTCCTGCATAATTTTACTGTCAAATAATTCAGAAAATATACATGTTATTTAAATGAAAAAAAAAAATCTCTGTTGGCTGGGCTGTCTTGGTGAGAACGGAGAAGATGGACCTAGAATTAAGTGTTGCTCCAACTCATTCCTGAGGGGCTTTTCCTTTCAGTCTTCCTCAATAGGCCAGCATTCCACTTTGGCCAGGATAGCTTACCTCAGAGCTAGCATTTGTTGTCTTCATGGGCATACAAAGGCCTAAAGGCCACAGCTATTTTCAACTGCACAGAGCCACAGAGGCTCGCATGATTATGTGGGAAAGGGGCATGTATAATGTTATCTCTATCATTTGCATAATAGCAACATATCGATAACCCAGGTGAAATAAGGTAGAGAGTGTTTAGAGCTGGGCAGGAATATAATATAGGCATACAGGCACTGCTAAGAAAATGTATATCCTTTTTCTTTCTCAGTCTGTTTCTTTAGATTGTAAGCTCTTCAGCTAGGACTTGCTTTACTCCATATTCTGTAACGTGCCTTGCAAACTTTTCGGTACTGTATTAATAATAATCTATAAACCTTCATCATGAGTTCAAACCAAAACTTCATCTGTTACCTTTTCTACATACTAATATTTTGCCAGACACTTTCAAGATTTAAGTCAGAAGACAGGTACTATTACATAGTAGCCAGACTTGTTTACATTTCAGTACCCCAGCACAGTACATCTTTAACATTAGACTGACCTGGAAATTTACAAGATAGGAACAGTTATATAATAATGAATAATTACAACTAAATGTATAATAGGAGGAAAAACCAATATAACCTGGAAAGATTTACCATTAGGTCAACTTTAGTTGATGAACTATGACGATAACTATACTAGTTATTATACTTTCCTATCTAGTAAAACCCATGCTATGTTTTTTACACTGTAGGACAATGGGAAGACTTTTTAAAAAAAAACTAACAACATTTCTGACTCTTCTCAAGAAAAAAAACAAACATCAAGGTATTTTGATAAATGGCCTGTGAATCTAACAAAGCAAACACACAGGGCCCAGTTCTGATTTCACTTACACCAGTGTGAAATCAGAGGAACTCTATGAAGTTACACTTCACGATTTGCCTGCAGGAGTCAGGATTTATTTTTAAAATGTCTGAAGTGTGCAGCCAGAACTCAAGCTTTTGGTGAATTTCAATGGTGACATTACACATCTCAGGAATGTTTAATAAAGTTCATGATTTTTCACTGTTTGAAGCTGAGGTATGATAGTGAGTTTTATTGGTACAGGTATTAGTGGTAACAATAGTTATTGCTCAGAAGTGCATAGCATAATAAAAGAAAGGAAAGAGTGTAGATGAAAAGAAAAAAAGAAAAGTGAGACCACTTGCATGTGCAAAGTTAAGCATGTGCACTTGTGCAGATCAGGGCCTAAATCTGAGACAAATTACTACTAGAAATATTTAAATATGTGAGAGTTTAAAAGACTGAGCTCTTTTAAAAAAAAAACAAATAAAATTTGTTTTAAGGATTCTGCTTCCTAATTTTTCAAAATACTATTAAGTAGCATTAGGTACTGGCACCAGAAGTAACCCCAAACAAAATAATCTGGAATAAAAATATGTTTGAATACATTCAAATAAGATGGATTTTTGGGAGCAACCCAACAATTCTTAAGACCCAGCAAACCCCCGCCTTCTCATTATAAAACTCTGGGCCATATTCTCTTCGGGGAAGCTCTGTGTGTGGTACCAAGGACACCTCTGACCCAGCGCCCAGCCCTGAAGAAGACTAAGAGCTCTGTGCAGCTGGAAAGCCAGTCTCTTTCACCAGCAGATACCTGAAAGGACACTCAGAGAACCACAGGTGCTACCACACCCCCCTCCGCCCGCCTTGCAGTGGTTTCCAGCATATACTCAGTGGTTTGAGCATTGGCCTGCTGAACCCAGGGTTGTGAGTTCAATCTTTGAGGGGGCCATTTAGGGATCTGGGGCAAAAATTGCAGATTGGTCCTGCTTTGAGCAGGGGGTTGGACTAGATGACCTCCTGAGGTCCCTTCCAACCCTGATATTCTATGATATACAGGGTTTATAGTTTGGTCCAATGCCCCTCAGCACCCCCACTGCACAAATTGTTACAGCCCCCCTGCAGAGACAAGCCCCCCTCCAGTGCAGCAAGTTTGCTAGGGAGCAGGTCTAAATAAACCGGGGGGAGAGGAGAAGGTGAGTTACAACTTTCTGTGTCTCTTTTCGAGCAGGAAAGAAGCGAAGCTAGCCCACAGCCGCAGGACTACAGCTCCCGAAGGTCTACACGCTGCGGCCGCCTACAAGAGGAGGACACGGGCCGGTCACATTCGTTTCCCGCGCGCAGCGGCAGGAAGCAATCTGCCTGCCCGGGCCTGTAGCTTTGAGCAGGCTGGCCGGGGAGCATTTACCGGCTTCTGGCAAGGGAGGCCGCTTGTGGGTGGGGCCCGGGGAGGCGGCGGCTCCGGCCCGCGCGGGGAGCCGCAGGGGCATGGAGGGGGCCGGGGCGCAGCAGGCCGGGCCGCTGGTGCGCTGCCCCGTGTGCCTGTGGGAGCTGCCCGCCGCGTACATCAACTCGCACCTAGACGGGTGCTTGCAGGACTCGGAGGCGGGGAGGGGCGGCGAGGCGGAGCGGAGCCCGCAGGCCCCCAGCAAGAAAATGCGCCTCTCCGGGCCCCCGGGGGAGAGCAGCGAGGAGGAGGAGGAGGAGGAACCGGAGGGCGGGAGCGGCCCCGCCGCCCCCGTGTTCCCCCTGTTCCACAAGGGCCGGGCGGCCGCAGCCCCCCCGGGAACTCCGGGCGCTGGGGCTCACAGGGGCGCTCCTGCTGCTGCTGCAGCCCGAGGCCAGGAGCGAGGGGCAAGCCCGGCCCCCGCCTGCCCAGGGCCGGCTGCCAGCCCCGGGAGCCACGCGGCTGTCCTGAGCGGGGAGACCGTGGCCCAGAAGCTGGAGGGGAAGCCCCTGGCCGATAAGCTGCGGCCGGGCACCTTGGGGGACTACGTGGGGCAGGATCAGGTGCTGGGAGAACAGACCCTGCTGCGGTCTCTGCTGGAGGCCGACGAAATCCCCTCGCTCGTCCTCTGGGGGCCCCCTGGCTGCGGCAAGGTGAGTGGCGCCGGGGCCGCTTAAGCGGCCCAAGGGAGCCCCTGCCTGAATGTCACTAGGCAGCACAGCCTCCTCCACAAGGGTCAGCCCGGCTTCCACCCGGGGCACCAGAACCCTGACACGGGCCTCACAAATCCCGGCCAACATTGAAGGTTTTACCCAAACGCAGCTTCCTTCCCATTCTCTGTTCCTGCTCTGAATTTCTCTGCTCACCTGGTTAAATGAACAGTGCACTAGGGAGGTAAAGTGAGGGCGGTGATATGTTTTATTGGACCAACTTCTGTTGGTGAGAGAGACAAGCTTTTGAGCCACACAGAGCTCTTCAGGTGTCTGTGGCTCCAAAACTTGTCTCTGTCACCAGCACAGAAGTTGGTCCAATACAAGATAGTCTCCCGCACCTAGTCTCTCTTCATACCCTGGGATGGACGGGGCTGTAACTGTGGGAGAAACAGTTCCTTGCAGGCCAGCTCCTCCAGGTATTCTAATTGTTCTGTGCATTTCCTTAGGGCTCAGTGCTGCTTTCAGTGCCATGGGGCAGTGCTTACCAGGGTAATTCCATGGCCTTCCCTGGAACAACTGGTGATGATAAGCAGAACACCTGACGGTGTCTCTGTATCCATTCCTGGTAGGATATCTTATAGAAAATGGCTGTGTTCACCTTCTGTAAGGTGCTGAGCTGTATGCTGCCAGCACTCAACCAATAATAACCAACAATATGTTCCCTCACCTCAAAAAGTCTGCTATTAGATCAATTATTTGCTTCTAATTGATAGGTTCCAAGGCCAGAAGGGATCATTGTGATCATCTAATCTGAGCGCCTGTCTAACAGGCCATAAAACTTCCCCCAAAATAATTTGTGGAGCGTATCGTTCAGAAAAAATCCAATCTTGATATTAAAAAGTGGCAGTTATGGAGAATCCCCCATGACCTTTGGTAAATTGTTCCTATGGTTAGTTGCTCCGGTGGATAAAAAATTATGCCGCATTAAAATTTACATCTTATCAATGTACTTATTGTGTATAATAATTAAGTTTCTATTAGAGATAGGACCTGAAATTCACTGTATGAATCTTGAGGGGAGAGGGGTTTTTTTGGGAGGCGGGATTGTTTTCTTTTGATTTTGTTCAAGCCCTTCTGTTTGTAAATAAATTTGATGTATTTCTAAGTTAGTTAACTTTCAGCTTTCTCTGGTCTCACAGTCTCTCTCTCTTTCTTCCTGCTTCCACGCTTCTTCTATCCCTTTTATTCACTGACTGATTAATTTCAAAAAGCTACCTGAATTGTAAACTCTTTGGGACCGTGAATGTATGTCTGCAGTCCTGCAACATTTTTCTGTGCCCACACAAAGCCCCATTACCCTTAAGTTCTCCATTTTCCTTGTGTTCAGATCTGCCTAACTTTAATATTCCAGAATATTGGTAGAATTCAGCTTTATCTTGGTCCTTCTTCTACTAAAATCTTAAACTATACCTCAATCACTTCTCATATAAACTGCTGGAAAATTCTTTCTTTTTTTTTTTTTTAATTAAATGTTCTTCCCTAAATTCCTGGTCTGTAAATTTCAGGTGGTCCACACTGCTAAACCAAGATGACTCTAATGATGAGAAACAGGACTACATTCCTGTCTGTCATCCTCCTTGGCTTTTTGTCTTTGATAGACCTAAGTATAGTCTAAGATCTTACTTGATAAAGAAATAATGGGGGATCTTACTGTGTGTGGATACAGTACTCTTAAGAAACTAGTCAGATGGGGAAAAAAATACCTCATCAGAGAAGGGAAGGGAGAACCTCAATCAGTATTCAAAATCAAAAAGACCTTAGGGAGAAAGATGTTTGCTCATACCACACAGTGACTGGTCAGAGGGTGAAAGCTTTCTGTTGTTCAAAGTCTTTATCCACCAATAAGCACCTCTTCAGGATTAAACGTTTCTTTTTCTAGCTTTTAAGAATCATTTAAATTAGTAAATAATTCAGTATCCATTTACATGGACAATATAGCAGATAAAGGTAAAATAATTTGGCACATCATCAAAATCTTATCAAAGCTTAAAAGACCTCAAAACATGTTGAGAAAAAAGAAGACTGATTATCTTAAAATATTGATTTGTAACCTAAGCAATGTAAATCAAAAACTGTATTTTGCAGCAAAGAACCAGATAATATTGTATTTCCCATTTTTCAGAGGAACACTTGCTATTATTAATTTAAGTAAAACACAAAACAAAATTTTACCATTAACATATTCTTAACATATTTATTTCTGATTACTACCTAGCTTTCTTTTGGCTGGAAAGGATACAAAAGCAGAAAAGACTAAAGGAATAAGTTCATCCCAAAGCAATATAGCTTTTCATCTAGCTTGAGTATCCTTTGAAACTTCAGGAAAGATGTTAGCTTTTTCTGTTATTGAAGAA